GTTGTGAGGTTAGATAATCTATTAAAAATTTCTCTTGCTATGAACTTCCCTCTCAGAACTGCTTTCGCTGCATCCCATTGATTTTTGTGTTGTAGTGTGTTCATTTTAATTGATTTCCAGAAAGTTTTTAACCTCTTCCTTGATCTCCATGGTAACGAATTCATTGTTCAATAATATGCTATTTAGCCTCCATGTTTTCAAATGTCTTTGCATGTTTTTGTTGCATTTGATTTCTACTTTCATGCCATTGTGATCTGAGAAGATGCTTGATATGATTTCAATCTTCTTGAACTTGTAAAGACTTAATTTGTGCCCTAACATGTGGTCTATCTTTGAGAATGTCCCATGTGCACTAGAGAAGAATGTGAATTCTGCAGTTTTGGGGTGTAATTCTCTGTAGATATCTATTAAATCTATTTGATCTAGCACTTCATTTAGAGTCTGTGTTTCCTTGTTAATTTTTTATCTAGAGGATCTGTCCAGTGATGTCAGTGGGGTGTTGAAGTCCCCTGCTATAATTGTAGTGCTGTTGACTTGTCTTTTGAAGTCCTCCAGAAGTTTAATTAGTGTATTTTGGTGCTCTTATGTTGGGTGCATTTGTTTACCAATGTTATATTTTCCTGTTTGATATACCCTTTCAATATTATGTAGTGGCCATCTTCGTCTCTAGTATGGCCTTTATTTTAAAGTCTATTTTATGAGCTATGAGTATTGCTACCCCAGCTTTTTTTTTCCTTTCCATTTACTTGAAAGATTTTTTTCTATCCCTTCACTTTCAACATGTGTGAGTCTTTTGTTGTGAATTGGGCCTCTTTGTAATAGATATATATATATCTTGCTTTCTTGCTTTATATATATATATATATCTTGCTTTCTTGCTTTCTTATCCAATCAGCTACTCTGTGTTTTGATTGGAGCATTCAATCCATTTACATTTAAGGTTATTATTGATATGTACTTATTTATTGCCACTTTTGTTTATTGTGGTCATATTTTTCTTATTATTTCTTCCACTAATTACAGCAGTCCTTTTAACATTTCTTGCAGTGCTGGTTTGGTGCTAATATATTCCCTTAGCCATTGTTTGTCTGTAAAGTTCCTTATTTCAACTTCTATGTTGAATGGTAGCCTTGCTGAGTAGAGTAGTCTTGGATGGATTCAGATCCTTGTTTTTCATTACCTTGATTACTTCATGCCATTTCCTTCTGACCTGTAGTGTTTCTGTTGAAAAGTCAGCTGATAGCCTAATGAGAGATCCTTTGTAGGTAACCTGTTGCTTATCTCGTGCTGCCTTTAGGATTCTTTCTTTGTCTTTAATTTTTGGCATTTTAATTATTATGTGTCTTGGTGTGGGCCTGTTTGGCTGCTTCTTACTTGAGGCTCTCTGTGGTTCTTGTACTTGTATGCCTTTTTCCTTTACCAAGTTAGAGAAGTTTTCTGTCACTATTTCTTCAGATATATTCTCTAACCCTTGCTCATTTTCTTCTTCTGGAATTCCATGATGAGAATGTTTGTATGTTTATATTGTCCCACAGTTCTCTCAGGCTGTCATCCTGTTTTTTAATTGTTTTTTTTCTTTTTGGTTCTCTGGGCAATTTTTTCTTCTCTGTCTTCTAATTCACTGATCTGATCCTCAGCCTCCTCTACTCTGCTTGTTGTTCCTTCCAATGTGTTCTTAATTTCTGCTATGTCATTCTTCATTTCCAATTGGTTGGTTTTCAGTGCTCTAAATCTTTACTCACACTATGAGCTTCCTCATGATTATTACTCTGAACTCTCCCTCTGATAGCTTGTTCAATTCCCTTTCATTTATTTTATCTTTAGTTAAATTATCTGATTCTTTCATTTGGAATTTGTTTCTTTGTTTTACCACTTGGGCTGTCTCAGTGGGTTTTGGATCCTGCCCAATTTTCCCTGTGGGTGTTGGTGTTCCACTGGTTGTAGCTCCCTCTACTGGGTTTGGATGAGTGTGAGAGGATCCACCTTAAACACCACTGTAAAGTCTTACTTTCCTGGCTAGATTTGCAAGCCCAGGAAAGGTTCAGTTATCTTCTAGCTTTTTGCCTGGAGGCTATTAGTCTCAGGTACTTAATGAGCCTTGGGTTGTAGCCCTCAACTGAATGAAAAATTCCCTCAGGTGTTCAGGGAAAGATTTCCAAAGGGTGGGGCAGATGCTTGCTGGCTGTTAATTAGCCTCAATTTACATTTCTCTCACCTGGCTGGGTGGTGTTAAATTTCTGAGGGAGGGGCTGCTGCTTCTCCCTGGGGCTCTGGGAAGGAACTCTTTGAGCAAGATGCCCACTGTCCTGTGAGGGAATGTTTCTGCAAAAAAACTTCCACTGCTGTCCCAGCTCTCCAAGCTCCCGAGTCTGTTCACACAGTTATAGTCCAGTCTGCCCTCCCTCTGCCAGAGCCCAAGGTGAGTGGCTGCATCTAATTTAGTGCTCTGTCCCAGCCCTCTGCACTGTGCAGCCAGCTTGGGATTTTAACCCCGAGGGAGCTGCTCACAGCTGAAACAGCCTCTGTTCGTAGGCTACCAGCCCACCCTTTCGTGCCTCCACAGTTTCTACCAGGCTCCATTTCATATCCTCTTTCTTACCATGGTTATGTGGGTCCTCTCCAGCTGCTTTTCTGTTGTTCTTTTTCTGACGATTTGTCTTTATTTTAGTTGTAATTTATGTTTGGTCCTGGGAGCTACTCTGTGTAGCTTCCATTCACTCCACTGCCTTTTTGGAACCCCTCACATCACCTACTTTAAATAACCAACCATGGCTAGTCTGGTTTTGTTGATATCCTCACCATAGATTTTTTTTTAAAGCAAATCTCAGACATCAAAACACTTTTTTAAAATAAATGTGTCGGTTTCTCTAGAATTCAAATAAGGTCACTAAAGATAGGACATTACCCATTCCAAAGCAGTATCCCTCTCCTTCTTTCTCTATACCTTTCCTTGTTTATTGGTATTACAGCATTTTTTCACTCCCTGGCATTTATTTTCTTTATTGTTATTTCATTATGTACAACTAAATTTTTGAAATGTAAGGCCCTTAAGGGACTTTGCCTGCCTTGTCCCCATTAACACAGAGCATTATACAGTGCCTGAGGCATTGTATGTGTTCAGAAGAAGGCAGAGAAGAGAAGTTGCCGTTTGCCAAAATGTTAGCTCTGCTTGCCAGGGTATGCAATAGTGGAAATAGATGAATGGACATGTACACTGACATTCTAATTTTTCATTTTTATTTCAATTTTATTTTTCAGTTATACTAAACATATAATATAATATTAGTTTGGGGTGTGCAACATAGTGATTTGATATTTATATAACTTACTAAGTGATCACCTTGGTATCTGACACCATGTATAGTTGTTATAATATTATTGATAATATTCCATAAGCTGTACTTTACATCCCCATGACTATTCTTATAACTGGCAATTTATATTTTTCAATCTCTTTTACATTTTTCACCCTTCTCCCCAACTCCCTCAATCTGATTATTATCTATTTGTTTATGTATTTATGAGTTTCTGTTTTGTTTGTCCATTTATTTTATGTTTTTCTATTCCACATATAAGTGAAATCAAATGGTGTTTGTCTTTCTCTGACTTACTTCACTTAGCATAACCACCCTCTAGGTCTATGCATATTGTTCAAATGTTAAGATTTCATTCTTTTTATGGCTGAGTAATATACCATTGCATATATGTAACACATCTTTTTTCTATTTATTTATCAATGGACACTAGGGTGCATCCATACTCTGGCTATTTTAAATAGTGCAACGATAAACATAAGGGTGCACATATCTTTTCAAATTAGTGTTGTGAATTTCTTTGGATAAATAACCAGAACTGGAATTGCTGAGTGATATGTAGTTCTATTTTTTATATTTTGAGAATTCTCCATACTGTTTTCCATAGTGGCTTCACAAATTTACAATCCCATCAAAAATGCATAAAAGTTTCCTTTCTTTACATCCTCACCAACACTTGTTTGTTGATTTTTTGCTAGTTATTTAGACTTCAGATGTGAAGTGATAGCTCACGGTATTTTTAATTTTACATTTTTCTGATGATTAGTAATGTTTAGCATCTTTTCAAATGTCTGTTGGCATCTGTATGTCCTCTTTGGAGAAATGTCTATTCAGGTCCTCTTCCACTTTTTCAATTGGATTGTTTAATTTTTGGTGACTCTCATTATTTAATCACCATACTGTTAGTGTGGGATCTACCTGCTCCACATCTTTGATGTGACTTCTTCTTTGTGTCCTTAGTTATAGAAATTATGTTCAGGTAGTCTTTAGGCAGTTCTCAGTGATCCATTGACATTCTTAAATGATTTTCTTTCAGATAAAAAAGCCACATCTGTGAAAGATACCAGCCTAATCTGCCCAGGAGTAAAGATAGAACATCCAGGCCAGTAAGTGCCCAGCTCCGGGGTTCCGTAGGCAGTTGTCCCCACCATGAGGTATCCAGGATGTGCGATACCACCTCTGCTGGGACAATACCTGTCTTTTTCTAAGAGGGCTCTGGGCATCTTCTGCAACCACCTTTGTTGAAGGTCCCCCAAGGTGCTCAGGGATCTGCTGAGGCCTGGCTCTACTGAGGAAGGTAGGAATGTGGAAGATGTGCGTCCAGGGGGCGGTGTACCATTGTTCCTAGCAACCTTTTGGAGCTAAGCCATGACCGGGGCTTAGTCTGTGAATACAGAAGAGTGAATGTGGTGACACCAAGCTGCTCTCCCTGGGCAGTTAGCCCGTGGCCACGAGGCATCTGAGTCTAGGCAGGGCTCCTCACTTTCCGGTCAGCCTTTTTAGCAGAGGTTGACATTGCAGTGCTTAGAGATGAGCTCAACTTATCCACGCTGTCTGCTCCTGGTGGCCCAATGCCTCGTGTTCTAAGCCATTACAATGAGGAGAACTGTGGACTGTGGCTTGAGCCGAAAGCAGAAATTGTATCAACCCAGGCTGGTGGTCACTGTCTGCCCTTTCTGTGTTTAGGAAGGTCTTCATTGAAGTTAGCCTGAACAATGGCATCAACTTCATCAACAACGATATTTACATCGTCAGTGAGGACTGTGTGAGTGTCAGGTGGGGCTGCAGCTTCTCTCCAGGGCTATGTATATCCCCTGCACTGGAGGGAGGCACCCCCTGTGTTGGCCAGAGAGGGGACCAAAGACCCCAGGCAGGCCCAGCAGGTAGCTTGTGCAGACAGCCACCTCCACAGCACCTCACAGCCATCTCTCAGTTTTAGCATTTGGTAAGGGAGCTCCCCTGTCCAAGCTGGGAAAGTTCCCTGGCAGTACATCCACAGGACCCCTGGACAGAGTCAGCTGGCCAGGCCTTTCAGAAACTCTGCTTTCCACCGGTGAACCAAGTATCACTGAGGAACATGGCGGAACCAATTAGAGTTCTAGGCAGACTTCTAAAAGAAAGCAGATGTTCTGCCCACAAGGTTAACCAGCATGCTACCTCCCCTGCCCAGATCTAATGGTGGGGGTTCTGGGTCTGCATGGACTCCAGCAAGGCAGGCTGTTGCTACAGAACACAGTTCTGGACCTCTGAGCCACCAGGGCCCTCCACCTCTAGGTCAAGGCACAGAGGATGGAGACCGTAGGACCAGCTCTTGCCCTGCTCATTCCGGGTGTGTTCCCACTGCACTCATGCCGCTGTTGAAAGGCTCTGAACCGACTCGCGATCATCACAGCCCCGGGCCCAGAAGCCTGACTGGGGAACATATGCTGTCATTTCGCAAATGTCATCACCCTCCCTTCAGCCTCCCTCGTTCTCAGCTCCTCAGCTGGCCCTCTGCTAACTCTCTCTGCACTTCGCAGGAAGACGGTCCCTCTGTTGGGGGGAAGCCTCAGGACTGTGGGAGGGTCCCCAGGACTCAGCTGGGGGGGGAAGCACCTGGGAATGAGGAGCTGCTCCCCCCGTGCCCACTTCTCAGAGCCCTGCATCATGCAGGCACCTGTCCCAGGAGCATGACCTGGTGACAGAGGGAGTCAGGCTGGAGCGGTGTGCCCGGGAGGAGGGCTCCGGAGCCGAGTCGCACTGCCCTGGTGCCCAGGGCCAGCTTGTGAGGTCCAACAGCGCCGACAGTCCTCCTCTGAGTCTGTCTTCGCTTGTCCCTGCTCCTCCCTTCACGAACCAGCAGCCTGAACTGACCCGGTGGCCCCTCAGCGTCCTGCCCATCAGCAGGCACATTGAGAGCAGAGTCCAGGAGCAGCCTGGAGCTGCAGGCCCAGCAGAGCCCGCCCCTCAGCCCGACGTCACCTGTCCTTTCAGCCGGCCCGGCTCTTGGGCACAGGCTCCCTCCACGGTCCCGCTCAGGCCCCTGGACAGCACGGTCTGCGGAGGGGCGGGCTGTGCCGCTCGCCAGCCCGGAGGCAGCACACCTGCCCGGGGGGTGAACAACAAGACCGTGGTCTCCTGGAGCCCTCAGGGGCCTGGCCTGTGCTGGACTTCCTACACGCTGTCCTCCCCACACGTGCCCGCTCACCTCCTCGCAGACAAGAATCGAGGCTCAGAGAGACTGCGGAGCTTTGCACAGGGCTGTGGTCCTGGAGGGGGAGGGGCGGCGGGGAGCTAGAGCAGGTCTCCTGCCTGTGCATCTGACCCCAGCCTCTCGGTGGGCCGCAGAGCCCTCCCCCACCCAGCTGAGCATCTAGGTTGTGTGGGCCTCACTAACCCCTGTCCTGTCAGCCGAGGCCTGCAGTGAGGGCTGCTCTGTCCCCCACAGAGGATCCGACTTCCCACTCGGGGCTGGGGGCAGAGCATGTGATCAGGCCAGTGGTGGGGTCTGAGGCCAAGGGTTCCACAGGCTGTGGTTCCAGCTGTGGCCTCCTACCCCACTGTGGTCCCTGCAGATGGGGCCATCTGAGGTCACGGGAAGTAGTTGGACAAGGAGTGGGGGCGATGCCTGGTGCTGGTCGACTGGGTGGAGGCTGCCCAGACCCACCACAAGCCTCTCACATGTGTGCTTTCTGCAGAGCAAGACGTCTACTGTCCCTACCACTACCACTACCACCACCACCACCGCCACCACCACCACCACCACTACCACCACCACCACCACTACCACCACCACTACCACCACCACCACCACCACCACCACCACCACCACTACCACAACCACTACAACAAGGCCCACCACTACTACTACAACTACCACTACCACGAGGCCCACCACTACCACCACCACTACCACAACCACTACAAGACGTACCACTACCACTACCACAAGGCCCACCACTACTACCACTACCACGACCACTACAAGGCGTACCACTACCACTACCACGAGGCCCACCACAACCACTACAACTACCACTACCACAAGGCCCACCACTACCACTACCACTACCACTACCACTACCACTACAACGACCCAGCGGCCCACCACAGCGACGACCCAGCGGCCCACCACAACGACGACCCCTAAGCAGCCACATCACCCACCACCTGCCCGCCCACAGCCGGAGCACACTACCTACTCTCTGTATCTCCTTGTGCTCATTCCAGCCCTGCTCACATTGCCAGTGCTGCTCTGGTGCGTCTGGAGGTTGTGCAGGAAGGTGAGTGACTCCTGCCAGCACTGCCCTTCGACCAGCAGCCCCAACAACCCCAGGAAACCAGGTGTAAACCAGTGTCACGACCCTGCCCGTGGCGAGGTTCCCCTCAGCTCCAGCGCCGACACATGAGCAGACAGAGGTACAGACTCTGTCCTCCATTCCCGGGCACAGATGCAGCCTGGGCTTCCTGGAGCCTCCTGCCTCGTGCTTGCCTCTGGGAGGAGGCCTAGGTGCTGCCCTGGCCCCGGGGCATCAGTGACCACAGACACGGGACAGGGCTGCCTCACAGCAGCCAGGACTCCGAAGGCCTCCGTGGGCACAGCCTGGGAGGCCTGTGGTGCTGGGGGAAGAGGTGTCTCACAGGAGGCACCGGGGCCCCAAAGGGGAAACACTCTGCACAGGAGGGTGCGTAACCTCCGGGACAGCGGTGCCTTTGGAAAGCAGCACAGGTCTCTGCATGTCTCCAGTGCCCCTGCATTTCTTGTTCAGTCCCTGCTAAGGGCCAGGAGGTGCTGGGCCTGTGCTGGGCGAAGGGGACAGATAGGAGGTTGCCAATGTCCTCGCTGGACCTCAGTCTGGTATCTGGTCTTACAATGGTGCTGGGAGCTTTTGAGGGTAAAAGGTCAGCTCCATCATGTGTGGCAAGTGCCTGTGTAACCAGAGCAACAGCAAAGGACAGAGACGGGCCCTAGGGAGGGACTGAGGCAGTGGCCCTGCTAGCTGGGTTTGCAAGGACACAGGCCAGAGAGCTGGATAAAGAAGGAGTAAGCAGAGGTGTGAAGGACAGAGCAACCAACAAGTAGCCACCAGGTCAAATTACTGTGAAGGAGGGAGGATGGAAGAGAGAAAGCCCTGGATGGTGGGGGGACCGTCACCTCTGAGGGCTGAGAGGACACAGAGGGCTGCAGGGGTGGGGGGTGGGGGGGGCATGTGCTCTGCCTTCACTTGAAGGTGGGCAGCTGAGGAAACTACCCTGTGGGGCCTCAACCAGGGACCCGGCTCCTCAGTCTGGCATCTCCCTGTCGACCCACAGGGAGCTTTCTACTCCCTTTGATAACTGAGGAGCCTGAGGCCCAGGGAGGAGGAACTGTTGGCCACTTGCCCCAGGACTGGGGACCCAGATTGACTCCCCATGGCCCACGTACTGTCCTGCAGCTGCAGAGCAGGGTCCCCTGTCAACATGGCCAACCAGCACCCCCATGCCCCATCCAGCTGTGCTTATGTCTCTTTAACTTTCTAGAATGTCAAGGAGCCACCCCCAGTGAAAAAAACGGAAAAGGTAAGTCGTGGTGGGGTCCTGACGTTGTCTGCTGGCCTGATACCACAGTGACCTTGACAGAGGCCTCCTGCAGCCTAGGGGCGATTTCCACTGCCCATGCCTCCTGTCCCGCCCACCTGTGCAGAGAGCTGGGACAAACACGAGGGTGACAGAGGGCAGGGCAGGGACAAGGAGGGCCTGGAAGACATAGATTGTCCCCGGACGACATTCCCGTGTCCCAACACGGACTGATCCAGGGCCCTGTCACTGCATCAGTTGTTGGGGACCCTGTTTCAGCAACTGCTTTGATCCCCACTGAAGTAAAAGGGACTTTTCTTGTGAATTCCCAAAGGACTGATTTTAGGATGGTCCTTCCCAGGAGGAGGGGAGCTTTTGGAAAAGGAGCCTCAGGTCAGGGAACTGGTCCCCCTCTGGCCTCTGGGTCCACTGGGTTCCGTTTCCTTGGTCTCCTCCTTGTGTCCTGCCAGGGCAGGGGCTTGGCCGGGGGTGGCCTGTAAGGACTGCAGGGCTGAGGAGGGGCAGGGAGTCTGACCTGGCCCCCAGCTGTGAGGAGTCCCTGCCCAGTGAACACAGGGTCCCAGGGTCCGGTGAGCAGGTTGCAGCTCACTGAGAACCAAGTGAGCATGTTGAAGGGGCCCAAACCAGGGCCCATAGGCTGTCGTTGTACCTGGGGAATGGAATCCTTGAAACAAGGGGACCTGAGCCTGAGATCTCAGGGGAAACAGGCCTCACAGTCTCAGGGGGCTCAATGCTGGTTACAGTGTGACCAGGGGACTGGATCTGCCAGAATCAGGTAAATGCAGCCCTGTCACCTGCTAGTGCCACACCCCTGACAGCCCTCTACTGCGTTACATGGCCCAAGGCCCGCCGTCTCCCCCCGGGCAGCCTCCGGGAAACCGGGGGACCGGGGAGTACTTGCAGGCCTTCGGGGGAGCAGCCGTATTTGCAAACCCAAAGGAGTCTGCCTGTGTTTCCCGTGGAGGGCACTCTGCTATGGTGTGAGGTGCCACTCATTTGTCCTTGACTTCTCCCACAAACATTTGCTGAGTGGCCAAAACCGACATGTGCTGCGGCAGCAGAAGGCAGGCGTCTGCACCCAGGAGCTGCCTGGCCAAGAGGCAGACGATGTTTTCTATTTCCAGAAGCCAGAGACATGTCACATACAGACATGCCCTATGATCATCGTGCCTTACTGTGCATGCCATGTAGTCCAGGTAAGAAGGGCCCCTGCAGGGGGGCTGGACCCTCTGGAGACAGCGCCCTTGCCTAGAGCTTCCTCACAGCCACATCTGCTCTTCAGGGCGAAGTGGACTTGTTGTGTGACTGTGGTCAGAGCTCCAACCAGGTGCCGCTGATGCATTGTCATCAAAAGGACAAGGTAGGCAGGGGCACAGTGTGCTCCCTTTGGCTCAGAACCTTGCTTTCGCCCTTGACAATAGCACAATAGGATTGTGAGTCAGAGAGGTCTGTCTGGGCAGCTGCCAAGGAGGATGCTCAAGACCTGTAGCAAAGGGGGCTCAGGAGCCTCCCAGGTGATACTGGACATGGCACTGTGCATTTTCCTTGATGTGGTCTCAAGGGTGTCAGAGAGCTCTTACCTAGAGCATTACCCCACAGTTCCCAACTTGAGTCAAGAGGGATGAGGAAGAAGACAGGCCAGGGAGTTCTGCTGGCCTCCCAGTCCATTGTCCCTCCCCACTGACCCCCGCCTGTGAGTCTGCTGGCTCCAACCCACCTACAGAGTGTCTCCTGAGCTGGTCATTCAGGGCCATGAGCAGGGACGGCCTGGTGACCACCCTCCTAATAACGCGCTGCCAACACCAGGGAGTAAAGATTCCGTGTGTCACTGCCTGTGACTCGGGGAAAAGCTAAATTGTTTCACTGTCTTCCTTGGAACTCAATAATAATGATGGATAATTTTTTTGGATCCTTCCCGTGGGCCAGTTTAGCCTAAGAACTTTCTATGTTTTCACTTCTGTAATCCTGCGGGTAACTGTGCAGGCAGGTGTCACTATTATCCTAATGTTACCAAGGGAAAAACGGATGCAGAGTCTGAGTGACGTGCGCCAGGTCACAAAGGCCGGGAGTGGCAGAGCTGGACTTGAACCCGAGGCCTGGCTCCACCCTTCTCATTGTCCTGCCCCTTTTGAGTCAGCACCCCTGACCTCAGGGGTCACCCCCAAACCACCCGCAGGCTGCCCTGCTCAGGCCGGGGTGCAGGAGAGTGGTGCTCGGGCCTCCCCTGGGACTCTGCAGGGTTTTGCGGTGCTCAGACCCTTTGGTCAGATGGGCCAGACAGGCTGGAGGGTGCCTGTCCCCAGGGTCTGTAGAGAGGGCTGCATGGCCACTTCAGTGAACACAGGCTCGCAGTGAAGGGGCAGGTGGGCATTAGAAGCTCTGGGCTGTATCATTTTCATTCCTGTCTAAGAGCCTTGGGAGCTGCAGCCCCCCAGCCTGCCACCCATCAGGGGGTGCCCCAACTGCCCTGGCCCTGGGGGTGTGTATCCCGATCTAAGGGCTGGTGGTAGGGCTCGTCCCTTCAGCACACTCTCACTTAGCAAGGACGGCAGTGCCAGGGTGGTGGGGGCTGTACGGCCCCCTCATCTTTGCTTTTCAGTCTCCTAGTCCAGGGGGGAGCAGACACGTTCCACATCTCAACAAAGAGAGTCCAGAGTCAGGACACAGGGATGGGGGTCTACCACACGAAGGCAAGGCAGAGGTCCAATACCTGAGTCAAGTCTCCGAGGAGACCCGAGGCTGGATGCAGCACCCAGGAGAGGAAGGCCCATCTGTAGTCCTGATGGGTCCTGACCCTGATCTCCTTGAGCCAAGGAGATTCCAGCACTCTGGTCTCAGTTTCAAAGGCTTCCAAATGACTTTCTTTTTTTTCTTACAGGGGAGTTGTGTCAACTTTGCACTAATAAATCCCTCCCTCAGGAAGTTGTCCTGCAGCCCAAAGATCTGCCTTGAACCCAGCCAGGACTGCATTCCTCTCAACTGCTGCCCCACACCTATATGCTCTCAGCCTGCTCCCAGGATGCTGCCCCTGATTGCTCCCTCTACCCAGGCACTCCGCAGAACCACCCCTTCACTCCCACACCCCTAGCCAACCTCTAGAGCACCAAATCCAAAACATTAAAACAGAACTTTGTGTACTGAATTGGACATATATATTGAGTCTTGGTTTAAAGTCAAAAGTAGTCGAATGTTGTTGGCATGAGAGATTATTACCTGGTGAGCATTGTTCTCTGTGTGAGACTTACCTATACTACTCTTATAGGACAAAGCATCCTGGTGTCCTGTAAATGGAGACATGATTCCCTGGTAGTCACCTGTCACCAAGAGCTGGGACTCTTGTGTTTCTAGCCAAATTCTGCTATTTGAAAAATCCCAAACCATCCTTTCTATGTAAATATAAACTTGGGTCTATCCCGCATTGGCTTTTACTAAATCTCTTGGGCAAGTTACTTAATCGACCTGTGCTTTATTTTCCTAATTGAAAAGATGGGGATAATGGAGTCTCCTTTATAGGTGGCCATGAGGATGATGGTAACTGCTGCAATGTGCTCAGCACGGGGCCAAGGCCCTGGTTAAGACTCAGGGCCCAGTGGCTAGTGTCGTCCCTCCATGCCCCAGGGGAGGAAGAAGATATTAGTTCCGAGACATCAAGAAGTATTTGGAGAGCTCAGGGCTGTACGAGATCAGACCATGCCTGAGTCTTTCAGATCACAACAAAAGAAAACTAATATGGTCCAAAAAGTGACCCTAAAAATGGGTATCTATTAACTTCTGACAAAGAATTCAGAATAATCCTACTGAAGAAATTTATTAAGATCTACATTATAAAGAAGTACAAGGACACACTGAAACAAAAATAAACAAAATGAGGAAATCAACAAAGAAATATAAACCATCAAAAAAGCAAACAGTAACCTAGAGCTGAAGAATACGATGACTGCACTAACAAACATAACGAGTGTACTGAAAAACACCGTGGAGAGCAGAATCAGCATACTTGAGCAAGTAAAAGAACGAATCAGTGAGCTAATAGGTCATTTGAAATGATTCAGTCAGTGGAGCAAAAATTAAAAGGAGTAAAAATTACTACGTATTATGGCAAATAATGAAAAATATATATATAAATTATGAGAATCTAAGAATGAGAAATGAAAAAAAGAACAGTATTTTTTAATAATCAGGTTTGAAAAGTTATCAAATAGAGTGAGAAAAATGGACATCCAGAGACTTGAGGCCCAAAGGAACCCAAATAGGTTGACCCTGAAAGAGTTACATTGAGATACATTATAAGTAAATTGTTATCAGTCTATAAAACAGCAAGACAAAATCAAATCATCACATATATAGAAGTCCTCCCAAAAATTAAGTTGAATTTCTCAATAAAACTTTCCAGGCCAGAAGAGAGAGAGATGAAATTCTCATGTGTTGAAAGAAAAAAAACTGTCAATCAGAAATATTATCCCCAGCAAAGTTGTTCTTCAGAAATAAAGGAGCAATAACAATATTACCAACAAACAAAACTAAGAGATTTCATCACCAGTAAACCTGCCTTATGAGAAATGCTAAAGTATGTTCACAAAGCAAAAATAAAAGATAATAATTAATATCATGAAATCATTAATGTATTTGTAAAACTCACTGGAAATATAAATACATCTTCAAAGTCAAATTCTCTAATGTAATGATAGTACATAATTTATGTGGAATGCTAGTTGAGAAGTTTAAATATTTAGATATAGAGATAGATATAAAGATATAGATATATAGATATATATGAATATAAAAAATATTAGAAACCATAACTATAAAAATTTGTTATTAAATACATAATATAAAAAATGTGTTAGTTTGGCTTTGATAACCTAAAATATGAAAGATGGAAAAGTAAAAAGATAAAGTTTATATATGTTATAGATGTTAAGGTATTATCAGCTTAAAATAAGATGTTGTAAATATAAGATATTTTATGTAATCCTCATGATAATTACAAAGAAAAAACCTATAGTACATACACAAAATATTATAAAAAAATTTATGCATAGTTCTACAAAGAGTCATCAAATGACAAAAGAACAGTAAAATAAGAAACATGGAACAGATTGGTGTTTCAGGTTTCTTAGGGTATATTTCTAGAAGTGGGATCACTGGGTCAAATGGCAGTTCAATTTTTAACTTTTTGAGGTAACACCATATTGTTTTTTCCATAGTGGCTGCACTGGTCTGCATTCCCACCAGCAATGTACTAGAGTCCGCTTTTCTCCACACCCTCACCAGCACTTCTTGTTTGATGATTTGTTGATGGCAGCCATTCTGACAGGTGTGAAGTGATACCTCATACACCAATCATAAAGAATATATGTGCCCCTTTGTTCATAGCAGCACTATTTACAATAGCTAAGATCTGGAAACAACCCAAGTGTCCATCAGTAGATGAGTAGATTGAAAAGCTGTGGTACATGTACACAGTGAAATAATATACAGCTGTAAGAAAGATCTCTTATCATTTGAGATGACTTGGAGGGACCTGGAGAGTATTATTCTAAGCGAAATAAGCCAAGTAATGAAAGACAAATATCACATGATTTCATTTAGTTGTGGCATATAATGAACTAAACAAACTGATGAACAAAACTGACCCAGAGACAAACCCCAGAAGAGAGGTTGTTGGGGGGAAAGAGATAAACCACAACTTAGATGCATGTATGCATAACCAGTGGACATAGACAACAAAGCTGGGGAAGGGGCGAAGGGGATGGGAAGGAGGGTGTCAATGGGGGGAAAAAGAGAAACATCTGTAACAAAAACAAATTAATAAAAATAATTTTTAAAAAAAGAAACAAGGAACAATGTGTCTACAAAACAGAAACCAATGAACAAAATGGTAATAAATCCTTACCTATAAATAATTACTTTTAACATAAAAGAATTAAGTTCAATTAAAAGACATATGATGGCAGAAGGGATTTAAAAAATAAGTTCCAATAATATGCTGCTTAGAACAGACTTAGTTTTAAAAACACATATAGACCAGCAGTGAAAAAATAGAAAAAAATATTTCAACCAAATGGAACCATAAGACAATAGTCATAGCTATACTTAAATAAAACAAAATAGATTCCAAGATAAAAATGGTCAAGAGACAATGAAATTCATTATGTAATAAAAAACAAGTCAATCCATAATGAAGATGAAACAATTGCATATAATTATGCACTCAAAATCAGAGCACCTAAATATATAAAGCAGTTACTAGCAGAACAAAAGAAGAAGTACACAACATTGTAGTGATAGTTGGGGACTTTTAACAGCCTCTCACAACAAAAGAAACATCAACCAGATGAAGACTAGGTAAGAAAACAGTAGATTTGAACACTGCAGACCAAAACAAACCTACCAGGCGTATGTATTGAATTACATTCCATCCAAAAGCAGCAAAATGTACATTTTATTCAAGGACCTATAGAATATTTTGGGGATAAATATTATGGTAGCCAACAAAACAAATCTAAGAACATTTTTAAAGTTTTAAGTTTGGAATCATACCAAGTATATTTTACAACCACAATAAAATGAAACTAGAAATAAGTAACATTTGGAAAGCTGGAAAATATCAAATACATGAAAATGAAACACATTCTTGAGCAACCAGTGGATCAAGATGAAACTGAGGACATTTTCCTAAATATCCTGAAAAATGAAAATGAAAACACCATACCAAAACATAAGAGATGATGCAGAAGAAGTTTAAGAGGTAAGTTATAGTTATAGCAATAAACAGACATCAAGAAAAAAGAAATATCTCAAATAAACAAACTTACTTTACTAGAAAAAAATAAAACCTAAACACAAAGTTGGCAGAATGAAGAAAATAATAAAATTCAGAGCAGAGGAGAGAAAAATGGTGGCAGAGTAAATGGAAGTTACACATACCATCTCCCAGGACAAAACTGAAATTACCAATAAAATAGACAAGTCGTCAAGAAAAACCAACTGAAGAGCAGCTGGAGAGAACCCTTGTAACCAGAGATATAAGGAGGACATCAAATAGAGACTGGTAGGAGCTCCAGAAGCATGAGAGAACTGGCTGAGTGCCCACAGGCAAAGGGGCTGTCTTCACAGAAAACAGTTCCTTCAGAAAAGTTTGGGGATGAAACCCGAAGCTGGCTCCCCAGCACTGAGTGGCAGAACAGGGAAAGGTGCCCACATAACTCTTGGCTGAGGAAAACACCAGAGCAGAGCTTTTGTCCAGCAATGAGAGGCACAGGTAAAACCAGCACTTTCATGAAGGGCCAGTGCACTAAATCACAGCTACAGCCACTCACCTTGGGCTCCAGCTGAGGGAGGGCAGACTGTACTGGAACTGTGTGAAGAGAGTCAGGAGTTCATGGCACTTGGGAGAAAGCTGGGAAGGAGACCATCAGGAGTTTTATCCCTCCTTCATAAGACAGTAGCCATCGAACTCAAAGAGCCCCTTTCAGAGCCCTGGGGAAAAGCAATTGCCTTTCCCTCAGGAATGTAACACCACCTGGCTGGAGAAATGCAACCTGAGGCTCATTAACAGCTACAGACTACCAGCAAGCAAGGAGGCAGAAAAAAACATCTCTGAAAGATTTGAGTTTTGGACCTGGCTCTGAGTGTTGGGGGTCTTGGCTCTGAAGACTGAGCTGTGAAGGCTGAGGCCTGAGATCCTATGTTGAGCCCCTCCACCAAGGCTTCAGTAGCCATTTCTGTCAATCAGCTTCATAAAAATTGTTTTAGCCTGAGGGAGAAGCAACTGCACCTCCCTTGGGAATTTAACACCACCCTGTGGCTCTGGGAACTGAGCTGTGAAGGCAGAGGCCTGGACCCCTGTGCTGAGTCAGTAACCCACACTGAAAAAACCACTTTCTTATCCAAGCAATGTTAACCCCCCCCCTCAAAAAAAGCAATTGCCCCACCAGCTGGAAATCCTCTTATCCAGCACACCTGTGGGATTATTCATTCAGCTAAGGGCTACAACCTGAGGCTCGTTAAGGAACTGAGACTAATAGCCTTCAGGCAAAAGCTCTTGCATAATTGATTCTTTGCTTGATCTGTGACTCTACCCAG